TTGTGAAAACACTGAGAGGCTTGGGGCTTTCCTGTTTTTTGACGAACAGAAAACTGCACGACACTCAAAGATGCTGGGGGGGAAACCCTCGTATTTAATTAGAGGTGGGATTATTTTCTCTGTTATGTTCAGAAATTCCACCAAATACATCGGAGTTAAGGTCAACTTTCATCTTAAGTGTAACTTGCGCTGCTCTTGCTGTTAAAAGATATTTCAAGATACGACAGTCGTGACCTGATGGCAAACAAACAAGCAAAAACTCTGGTGCAAAGCAATAAGAGCCCCTCCCTTCCACCATGCAGATAACCTCTGATGTGAGAACCAACGGCTGGCTGATGGTGTGGGGCCCCTGTTTGTGTGCTTTACTATAGATTTAATTTACAAAATTTCTATCCCACCTTTCTGCCCTTACAAGGGCCACCAAGTTGGCTAACAATTCAGAATGTACGTGACAAAAAAAATATCACATTTTTAAACCAATAAATCATCCCCCAACATACATCATTAAAACAAAAACAGAGATAAAATACAAAACATAAAAACAGCAATTAAAACACTGGGCAAGGAGGAGGGACCATTGAGGGAAAAGAACAGAACAGTCGTTGCCCGCTGGTGGAAGACAGCAGCAGCAGGGGACAGATTAATCTCCCCGGGAAGAGAGTTCCAGGGCTTTGGTGCCATGACTGAGAAGGCCCTCTCCCAGGTTGCCACCTGCCTAAGAAGGTGGGGGCACCTGAAGCAGGACCTCTGGAGATGACCATAGTGGTTGGGCAGGTTCACTTCTTCACTAGGGTTGCCAAATGAATCTTACCTGGCGGCGGGGGGCTCCTGCCCAGCGTCTGGAGGGTGCGCGCGCAAATGGCTGTGGCCCCGCCCCCAGCGTGCCCGGCATTTGTATGTCACATCCGGGCGGCGCGCGCGCGGGGGTGGGGTTTCCCCCGGGCCCAATTCCGCGGGGGTGGAAATCGGGCCTCAAAAGCGGGGGGAAATCCGCCCCCCCGAGGGGATTTGGGAACCCTATTCTTCACTCTTTTAAGGGTGGAATGGAATCACACCAATGGAACCTCAGCACAATCACTTGGAGGCCCCAAGTCATGTGAGTGATAATGTAAACTGGCCACAGGGTGGGTCTTGCCCTGATTTTGCTCCACAGTATTATAGAAGGGAGGTTAATGAAGAAGGCACTCCAAAGAGACATCAGGGCCCTGAGGGACATTTTACATTTCCGCAGGGCCTGTAAAACGGAGCCCTTCCACCAGTCCTTTGACTACCGAGCCACACCTAACAAGCTGAGGCCCCCTGGCCCCAAGACTAATACCATCATTGACACCCTGTCCCTCGCCGAGTTGATCCAAACTGAGATGTCTGCTGACTACACTTTATGTTGATGCTACTAACGCCTCGCCATCGCCACAGGACTTGCACTAGCACTTTAGGTAGTGTTTTTATATTTGTATCTATATATTTTATGTACTGGTTTGTTTATAAAAAATTTATGCAAGCCGCCCTGAGCCTGCTTTGACGGCGGGATACCAAATAAATAAATTAATTTCTGGAATTCTGAAAGTGGGTGATTTATTTAATTGCAAAAAGTGACACACACACACACCCCTGGAATGCTCTGGTTAAAACATCCTGTGCCAGACATCAGATTCTGAGCGAACAATTAAAAGAAAAATCCTAAGGAAAATACCTTGTTAATTATACAGAGAGGAATTCAAACAGCCAAGACTGTCGAGATCTGACCACTGATGACTTCAGACGGGAGTTCTGCACACAAAAGTGTGCCTAAGGTACCAATTACACTAAATCCAATTGGATTTGGTGATTACTCATGCATCACAGTCAAACCCACATGATTCAAAGGCAAGAGGAAGTTACTTTCTTGCCTTGCCAACGCCTGTCTGTTCCCCAGACCCACACCCACCCTGGGCCTGTTTAAGTGTCTAATCTCCAGGCACAGTAAATAGCAGTATTTGTGCCAATAAAACCCAAGATAACCACTGTTACAAAGGTCCCATCTTATCTTCACCATTATCAATGTGGCGTAAAGAACTGAACGCATCTTACGACTTGTGGCCCACAGTGGGCTCCATAAAATGTGTGTGTGTGTTTTCACCCAGCACTCAGGGTGTGTACCATCTGTGGCTGGAGTCGAGAAACACTTTGCCCCTAGGGATTCAGCATTGCCCTTAAGTAAACAAGTCTCTTTGTACTCCGGAAGGTCCCAGTCCCTCCATGAAATCACGAAACAAGTGATTTACAGACCTCCTTGATCTCTCTTGAATGCATGGAGCTGCCTCAGAGACCACTGGTCCATCCAGGTCAGGACTAGCATTGCCAGGCTCTACCACAGAGCCAGGGCCCCCTTCTTTCCATCTTAGCATGGGGGCATTCAGAAAAAGAGAAGGTGCCATGTCCTTCTGCCGTTCCAGCAAAGGTCTGCTCTCCCCCAAGGCTGGTGTGCATCTTGAACAGGTTGCTGCCAGTTCCTTAGTTGGGAGTGGGGAAGGCTTTTGTCTCCAATGTTCTATCTGTTCCTGCCAGTTTGGTGTAGTGGTTAAGTGCGCAGACTCTAATCTGGGAGAACCAGGTTTGATTCCCCACTCCTCCACTTGCAGCTGCTGGATGACCTTGGGCAAGCCATAGTTCTGACAAGAGCTGTCCTCGGAAGGGCAGTTCTTGAAAGAGCTCTCTCAGCCCCACCTCCCTCCCAGGGTGTCTGTTGTGGGAAGGGGAAGGGAAAGGTGTTTGTAAGCCGCTCTGAGTTGGAAAGTACACTGAAAGTGGAGTGGATTATTGAGTGTGTGTGACCACAGCCATTGGTCCTTTCCACATTTGCCTGGCACTCCGTATTTGTTCAGTGTTCAAGCCGAGGCAATTTAAGTCCACGGCAAAACAACATCCAAATAACCCAGGGCAACAGATGGCTGAAACTCAGCTGACCACAGAAGGGAGGGAATGTAATGCAGAATGGGGGGAAAACCCAGAATAAAATGGTTGAATTCGATTTTAGTGCAGAATTGCTTGGAGGACACTGCGGTGAACATAGATTAAAAGGAGAGTGCAGAGGGCCATCCTCTATTTTATTCCACAACCCTGGGAGGTAAGGTAGGCCGAGAGGGTACGACCAGTCCAAGGTCACCCAGAAAGCTTTCACAGCAGAATGGAGATCCCGACCTGATCCTAACCAGACTGGTGAAGAATTCCTTCCAGACAACTAGGAAGAAAGGCTTTACACGGTCCCCCCCCCCTCTTCTTTTTGGCTAGGTATCACTTTCACGGGTACGTGTGAGCCGATGGTCTGGTCAAGGTTTTTGTGGGCTAGTAATCTTTATGGGCTTATTTGGCAAGGCTGCCCGCGAGAAACACGTACACGAATAAATATGTACTGTAGGTCTTCTCAGAAAACCCACAAACCCAAAGTTAGTGGTCAGGATGCCAGGAAAGGAGTTCTGATTTCTGAATAGAAAAGGTGGCCCTCGAAACCTCCTGCCAGTCTGAGCTACCTTGCGATGAATGGGGAGTGAATCGAGGACAAGCTGGGAGCACTGCGGCCTTCATCTCGAAAGGAAAGAGTCGGAATTCCTGCCAACTTCAACTGCAATGAACGATTAAACCACAACACCTTCCAGACATGCACTTCCTGCTTGAGTATCCCTGCCTGCTTTACATCACTGGGACACATTTATAAGGGTTAAGCGACAAGCTCTAAATATTCCAGAGAATCTACTGATAGTCCGGCTTCCAGATGCTTCATATGGGTGAAACGCAAAGGATTTTTACAGAGCGGTCCTTCCCCTGGCTTTCAAGAGGCAATCACTTTGAGTCATGCGATGGGCAAGTAACACACACAGGAAACGCCAAGAAGAGCCTTGTTTACTCTAGGTTTTATAGTCAATCCACCGTTTCAACTGAGATTATCTGATTCTCTGTTCTTGGTCAGGACTGTGATCACATCTTGCATCATGATTTTTTAAAATATCTTTCTTACAAAAAGGTACTTTCACATATTGCTGGCACATACTGAATTAGTTTGGATGTATGCAGACTGCCTAACAAACAGCATGATGGGAGAAATCTGAAAGCACCGCTACGTTTTTGGATTATTGCACGGGAATCTATGACGTTACTGCAAGGGAGGCCAAAACATTCTGTACTATCCTCAAAGCCACAATGAATCGAACCACAGCTTCATGGATTAATTGAATTATCAAAGCAATTTAAGTTTGCAACTCAACTAACATCCACTCTCTAACATCCACACAACTAACATTAGTTGAGGTCTCCTTTTCAGAACCCATCTGGGCTGACTGGGTTCTTGTTGTCCCCTCCCAGGGACTGAAATGCAAGTCCCTCCGTTCAAGGTGTCATGGTGCATTTGGGACCTCTTGCCATTTCAGATCGAAGGGAGAAGATTGGGAACATCCGAGCCAGCTGTCCATGACCTGGGGCTGAACATCTCCTTGTCCCCTTTTCAACAGATATTTTAAGCCTGGACTTTCTCCAAAGGCTCATAGCTGTGGTTTGCTGCCGTTACACTGCTAGAACCAGCATTGGACTGGGACAGCTTTATAGCCCGTCCCCTTCTGGAGAAGCGTCTCAAGTACCTGTTTGTGAATCTCTCTGCAAATTGTGTTTTTTGTATATTGTATATGTAAGCTGCTTTGTGTCCCTAAGGAAAAGAGGGTATCCGTATGGGAATAACAACTAAAATTCCCATTGGCTTCACTTTCACTCCAAAAGACATAGATGCATTTTTTAAAAAAAGTAGATGACTCTAACCCTAACCCTAACTGGTCCAGCGGGAGCTGGTCCATGGGGTCGCGAAGAGTCGGACTCGACTGTGCGACTGAACAACAACAACAAAGATGACTCTTTATCCATTTCTCGTTGCCTGACGTTCACCTCATGCAAGTTCAACCACTTTCTCAATCCCACAGTTCTACGGGTCAAGCAAACAGTTCTGAAACAGATGCTTAAAGGGGAATGGGACTCACCTTGCTACTTATAGGAGAGCCATCGATTCCACCAAGACTTCTTTGCCCAGATGGAGGCACTTGGTACACATCTTGCCCCTGAAGACCATGACCACTTGGTATCTGGTAGATTCCCTGATTCATGTACGAAGGCGGCACCTGGTAGACAGGGTCACGAGGAGAAGCATGCGCGCTTGGTACTTGGTAGACCTTCTGGTGGTTAAAGGGTTGAGGTACTGATCCTGCACTTGGCACTTCTTGGCTCGAAGGACTCTCCTGCACAGGACCTACCAGAAGTTTTACACGGTTGCCGGGGACAATGCCTTGCCTTCCGTGTAAGGAGCAGAGCCACCATCCTTCCAATCCTTCAGTGTTCTGCTCTATCACTGTCAGAATGTCACCTTTGCGGAAGGCCAACTCTTCTGCACATTCTGGGACATTATCGTAGAGGGCTCTGGCCATAAGATTCTGTAGAGACAACAGAAAGACAGAGGGAACTTAAGCGTACAGTCAGTTCTGGGTACACTTGGTTTCTTTAAAGTTAAAAAAAAAAAGTCACATAGACGGCACTCATTATATGAGTGGGACATGTAAATCAACATTTGTGTGTCTGAATCCCGCTGCCATCAAAATGGAACCTTCTTCTGCCCCTACTCCTGTTTATTTCTTTAAGCACTGAAATATTAAGACTGGATGATGCAAAATGGCACCTTGTTTGGGATTTGCTGCATGAAGCAATTATTTCACATGACTTCGCTGTAAAAGTGGGCCCACTTAAACATGTTTTAAAAGGTAAAGGTGAAGGTTTCCCTTGCTCGAAAGCTAGTCGAATCTGACTCTAGAGGGCAGTGCTCATCTCCGTTTCCAAGCCGAAGAGCCAGCGCTGTCCGAAGACTTCTCTGTGGTCATGTGGCCGGCATGACTAAACGCCGAGGCACACGGAACGCTGTTACCTTCCCACTGAAGTGGTACCTATTTATCTACTTGCAATTTCTTGCTTTTGAACTGCTAGGTTGGCAAGAGCTAGTGCCAGAGATGGGAGCTCATTCCGTCACGCAGCACGAGGGTCTCAAACTGCCAAACTACAGACCTTTTGGTCTGCAACTCAGCGTCTTAACCTCTAAGCCACCACGGAACATTTTTTTTAAACCCACACAAATAAAAAATCAGTATTTCTGCCTTGAAATAAAGCTCAAATACTATGACATTTTCTTTTAACAGAGTTCAGATAGAAACAAATAGCATACATGTATAACCAGGAGATCTCTTCCTGGTCCTTGAAGATTAGGAATTAGAAAGTTATGTATTTTCTTTAGTGTAGTTTCTCCTAGGAAATGATGTTTCACTGGCAGACATCAGGCATGGTAAGCCTGCCTAATTATTATTATTTTTAATGCTGAACAGGAGAATGTGTTGCAAAACTCTGATTACTGCATTTGGGAAACCTCTTTAATATTTCACAAGATTTATAATTTCTGTGATGACAGAGAAGGGCGGATGGTGTCCTAGGCTTAAGCCCTAATCCAGTCATTAACTCACTGCATCGCCTTGGGCAAATCTCTTTTCTCACCCTCAATGAAGACCTACTTCGCTGGATTGTGGTGAGGATGAGCAAGACAACGTTTATTAAGTACACTTTCAGCAAATGATATCTTATTCCGAATGAGTGACATCAACAGGTTCTGATTTTTCACGTAAAACTTTGCTGGCAGAATATGAAACACCTCTCTTTCTCTTTCCCCCTCCTAATACACGCCCACTAAGCTCAGTGTAACATTTCTTAATAAGGTCTGTAAAGCCAAGCAATCTGCTTGACCACTCCTTAAATGATAAACCTCAGAATTTGGCTTCCTACTGCAAAATCTCGTGGTTTCTTGCACCTTCTGGCTATGCAGAACAACCTTAATACATATTTGCCCCCAATGTAAAGAAAATGAGAAATGTAATGTTCTCTACCTGGAACGCCTATAAAAAGGTAAAGGTAAAGGTTCCCTTGCTCGAAAGCCAGTCGGATCCGACTCTAGGGTTGCGGTGCTCATCTCCGTTTCAAAGCCGAAGAGCCAGCGCTGTCCGAAGACGTTTCCGTCGTCATGTGGCCGGCATGCATAAACAAAAAGGAGCACGGAACGCTGTTACCTTCCCACCAAAGTGGTACCTATTTATCTACTTGCAATTTCTTGCTTTCGAACTGCTAGGTTGGCAGGAGCTGGAACTAGAGACGGGAGCTCACTCCGTCATGCGGCAACTCGGTACTCGAACTGCTGAACTACTGACCTTCCACAGCCTGCAGTTCAGCGTCTTAACCACTTGAGCCACCACAGCTATACCTGACATCAAACCCAGATCTAAAGACTGGTAGACACACTACCCTGGTAGCAAGCAATCTCAGCAGCAACACTCCTTCTCATATTACTTCAATAACAGGAGGAGGAGGAGGAGGAGTTTGGATTTATACCCTGCCCTTCACTACCCAAAGGAGTCTCAGAGCAGCTTACAATCTCTTTCACTTCCCCTCCCCACAACAGACACCCTGTGAGGTAGGTGGGGTTGAGAGAGCTCTTTCAAGGACTGCTTATGAGAGAACAGCTCTGAAAGCGCTTGTAACTGACCCAAGGTCACACCAGCAGCTGCATGTGGAGAAGTGGGGACTCCAACTCGGTTCTCCCAGAGTCCATGCTCTTAACCGCTGCACCAAACTGACTCTCCGTGCCAACCAGAAAGGAGGAGCCCACTCTGCAGTTGTTTCCAATGCCACTGTCAACCCTAAAGAAACTTGGCATGGAAGCTGAGCTTTTCTCATGTTGTCTTTGGCATTTTATGTTACAGCAGAGCAGGAAGAAGCAGCATTGTTGTGGCCCCCAATGTACTGGGCTTCACTATGTATTAGGCCTGCCAGATCTCCTGGCCCCTTCTCTTCACTCAAGTGGGAGCAAAAATGGGGGGCAGAGCGACACCGCAACATCACTTCTGGTTGTACCTGGATGTGATGTCATAAAGCTCTAGGAATTCCCCAGATCTCAATGGTTTTTACCAGAGAGACAGGAGAATTCCTCGAGAGTCACGATGTCACTTCCAGGTACAACCAGAAGTGACCTTGCAATGTCGTTCTGCTCCCACTGGAGAGAAGAGGCCATCTGGGAACCCTACTTTGTATCCATGACAGATTTCCTTGGCTCTTATTCCCATTATATAATTTCATAACGTAAGCTTTCCTGTACCTATCTAAAAATATGCTGTCTCCATTCACAGACAAAACACGCTTTTGCCTGCCTCTCTTTCTCATTTCTGTATATATAAGTGTCTGGCACATTCAGTACTAAGGGTGTCAGCCAAACAAGGCAGTCAGAAGAGAGCAGACAGAATCTGCATAGGCTGTCATTCTTGGAAACCTTCACAAAGGCCTAGAACACTTCATTTCTTGGCTCAAGTCGCTAGAGCAAAGCACACTGACAGCCATTAACCTGTCTACCCGCTACAGGCCAGAGAAGGTTTCACGGCACAGATGAATTGTAAACTATTGAAAATTAACAAGAAATGTCTCTGAAGCATTAAAACAGAGACATGGGGCGCATACGAGGACAGCCGTGCTTTCAAGCTGAAGATTTGTGGCTTCTGTGGAGTCTTTTCAACAAGCTATGGGTTTGTTCCAAATTATTATTGAAGCCCGTGCTTGAACGTATGAAGAGTTCCAAGGTTTTCAGAACTTCTGCCTGACACTCTGCTAGGGTTTGTGAGGCAGCTCCGCACTGGGCCTGCCGCGTTACCGAAACTTCAGCCTGGGTAAAGGACTACTGAAACATTTCATTTATTAAGGACCCGGTTGTTCTGTGAGGGATGACAGGCCGCTTTCTTTCTACCTTCATTCTAAATTGTAATTTATTCACCCCGTTGTGTAAGTTGCTTTGACTCCCACAGTGTGGGAGAAAAGTGGGGGCAAAGGCATTTTAATTAACAAGCAAACAACACAAAATGTGGGTAGAAGATTATGAAATTCCAGCCTCCCCCCCCCCAAACTGGCAGTTTAATGGTGCCTAATTTATTTTACTGTGTTACGGATTCACTGCCTTATAAGAAGGTTATATGAAAGTAACTGCATCTATTTAGAGGCAGGGTGGTGTAGAGGTTAGAGCGCTGGACATCAGAAGAACATCAGATAAGAACATCAGGAGAGCCCTGCCGGATCTTTCTAGTGGTCCATCTAGTCCAGCATCCTGTCTCACATAGTGGCCAACAACCAATTCCTCTGGAAGGCCAACAACAATATTGCCTCCCAGTGCTGGAATTCAGAGGCTGACTGCCTCTGAACGTGGAGGTTCCTTCAGTCACCATGGCTAGTAGCCACTGATAGACCTGCCCTCCATGAATCTGTCTTAAAGCAGTCTACGCCTGTGGCCATCACTACATCCTCAGGTAATGAATTCTACCTTTTAATCCCTTGCTGTGTAAAGAACTACTTTCCTTTGGTTCATCTTAAATCTACTGCCCATCAACTTCATTGGACACCCTTCAGTGTTAGTATTTTGGAAGAGGCAGAAATAGGGCTGCCAAGTGGGCCTGGGGGGCGGGGAACCCCCCGCTTTGGAGGCCCGATTTCCGCCGCGGCGGAATCGGGCCCCGGGGGGCCCCCCGAAGCTGCGTGGGGCGTGGCCCAGATTGTCAGGGGGAAAACCATATGGTCCCCCCCCCGACGGTCTGGGCCATGCCCCCAACGTGAGCAACATAGCACGTCACTTCCAGTGACGTGCTGGTGGCGCGCGCCGACGAAGAGCTCCCAGAGCCCAGCAAGGCTCCCCCGCCGGGCAAGGTAAGACCACTTGGCAACCCTAGGCAGAAAAGGTTCTGCTAGACCTGGGTTCGAATTCCCACTGTGCCATTGAAGGTTGCTGGGTAACCTTGGCCTAGTCACAGATACTCAGCCCAATCTACCTCATAGGGTTGTTCTGAGGATAAAATGAAGGAGAGGGGAATACTGTAAGCGGCTTTGGGACCCCACTGGGAAGAAAAGAGGGTGTAGATAAAGGAAATAATAATAATAGCAGGAAGGGACCATCTCTTCTGGTATGAACCTATGTGCTGGCTTTGTTCCTCCAAGCAGCTCTTGCTTGCGTGCTCTAAGAACATAAGAACATAAGAGACGCCAATGTTGGATCACAGCCCCGAACCCCTGGAATGGCCTCCAGAGGAGACACAAAAGGGCCTTTTCTCTGAGGCTTTTGGAAGACACTATAGGACCACTTGACTCCATTGCTGCATTTCTGAGCTGTGTGTCAGTCCAGCGCTTTCTTTTTTGCTTTTGGTTAACATATGTTTTTATCATTTACAGTTTTTAGATGTTTTATATCCTATATATCCACCTGACATGAGGCAAGGGTTGTTTTTTTTTGTTATTGTATATTGTGCCATCTACTGTCTTATTGGTTTTATTGCTTTTATTGTTTTGTGGAATTTATGTTGTAAGCCGCCCTGAG